ATGCCACATCACCATGATTACTGTTGTAAACTCGCGTTGGTTCAAAACCGGTTCAAATTCAAATCTAAAATAAAATCAAAATTTAAAGTTTTCAAATGTCAAAGCTAAAATGTTCAAGGTGTTGCAAATTTTCCATAACTAATTATGGTGGTGAATCAACATTTTTATAAAGCGGTTTAACGCCCTAAACTAATTAATTCAATGCTAGAGCAACATATTCAAATACCTTTCCATTTATGAAAAATTCTAACAAACGCGAAAACCTCCCTAACTTTTTGTGGCAGAACTAGTTAATGCAAGTTATTTATGTGGGCACGTCCCACATTTACAAAATAGATTTGCTAGCTAAAAGAAATTGCAAAACGAAAATGAAAAGTGAACAATAGGATAAACCCCCCTCTCCTAGTGGGCCTCGTGGCCCAGCTGGCCTTTCAGCCGGCCGGCCAGGCCGGCCCACTCCCCTACACGCCCCGCTCGGCCTATATGGCCCCTTCCCTGAACCGGAAACCCTGGCCCGGTCGCCCCTCGAGCCCCCACTCCTTCCCCACTTGCCCACACTCCCCCACGTCCCACTCATTCCCTGATCCAGATCGGCATCAGGGGCACCCGAGCCCACCATCCCGTTGCGACCCACAACCTCACCTATGCCCCGACGGCGGCCGGCGCCCCCGTCGCTCGACGCCGCCGCTCGTCTCCCCGACGCGCCGGACCACCTCGCTCTGGTCGCACCTCGCCTCGGAGCCCTCCTCGCCGGAGCCACGACGCCACTGGAATGTCCCTGTCGTCCTCCCCAACGGCTCCAACGAGCCCGCTGCCACCTCCCTACAGCTCCGCCGTGAGCACCATCTCCTTGCTCTCTCTCCGTACTCTCCTGTGGTAACCGTAGATCGCCGCCGACGTGTTCGTGCTCCGGCTGCGCCTGACGGCCCAGTTCGCCCCGGCCGTCCCCGCTCGTCCTACGCGCGCCCCGCACCCGCAGTCGCCTTGCTCGCAGCAGCTACCCCGCTTCCCTTCCGTGCGCGCGCCCGCCTCTCCACAACTGCTGCTACCTTGCTGCCGCCCGCATCGCGCCTGGCCATGGCCGTTCCGCTGGTCGCGCCTACCTCCCGTCGCCCCCACTGCTGCTGGATGCCGCATCACCCCACCCCTGACCGCCATGCGCACATGCCCACGCGAGGCCGCGCCCGCGCTATGCTCGGGCCTTATCCCCTCTTGCACACTCGCCCCGCCTCCCGCTGCAGCCCCCCATCCGCTCAGGCTGCTAGCCCCGCCTGCCCCCACGCGCCGCTGCCGCCCGGCCCGCACGCTGGCCGCGCCACGGCCGGCCTCTGCCACCCACTGGTGGCCTCGGGCACACACGGGCGCCCGTAACCGCCACCCACATGCCCGCTAAGGCCTAGGGCCACTGCCCAGTGGGCCCCACCAGGCCCCTGTAAAAAATATATTTAAATAAATAAAAATATATATATAATAGTAATGTAATTAATTAATCAATTGTTAATTAAGTTAATTAATTAGGTTTTACTAACCTAATTGCTAGTTAATCTGTAATTACTTAAAACAGTCAATGACGGGGGCCCCACCCCCTTTTGACCAGTCAAACGTTGACTGGTTAACTGGGACCCCCTGGCCCACCTGTCAGCCACTGGGTGCACTTCTGTGTACCCTGTGCTGGGTGCACGTAGCAATTTATTATTTATTTCTAATTAAATTAAATTCCAGAATATTGTTAAAACTTTGTAAAATCATATAAAATAATACGTAGTTTGGATGAAAAAGTTTTATACATAAAAGTTGCTCAGAACGGAGAGACGAATCCAAGTACGCGGTCCGTTTGCCCGCCACATGTCCCTAGCATAGCAAACGTCGAAATATTCCCCTCCAGTTCATCTGTCTAACAGACGTACGAAACCGGAAAAACTTTCCGGGATGTTTTCCCCCTTCGCCTGTATCGCCTAGCTCTGCGTTAGAACATCTCTAGTACCTCTTGTTGCCATGTTATGCATATGTTTGCGTGTATTTATTGTTTCTCCCCCCTCTTCTCTCTGGTAGACCCCGATACCGATGCTGCCATTGTGATCGATTACGTCACCGACGACACTTCTTCCCTTTCAGCGGAGCTTCCAGGCAAGCCGCCCCTTTGATCACCCTGATATCGCCCATTCCATTCTCTCATGCTTGCATTAGATTTTGCTACTATAATTGATTGCTCCTATTTTGATGCATAGCCTGCTTTTGTAACCTGCTATTGTACCTTACCTGCTTATCCTAAACTGCTTAGTATAGGTTGGTTAGTGATTCACCAGTGACCCCCACTTGTCCTTGTTGCCCCTGCTTCATCATTAATGCCTCGATCAACGTGATCGACGACCAGAGCCCGACACCTCACATCACATCACGCCCTTTTTGTTGCTCGACTCTGCAGAGTTACCATCAAGTGCCGAGGGTGGTACCTCATACATCACTCCTGATGAGATCTCTATAGTGTAGCTATTCGGTCATGGTCATCGAGGGTGATTCCTCCTTAACCACCTCCGATACGACTCTGTCGTGCAACCCCTCAAGTGTGAACCTCGAGGGTGGTTCCTCTTACGTTCACCTTGATGATTACATCAAGTGGAATCCACCGAGGGTGATTCCTCGGGTTTTCCCCTTGATGTTTGGACACACGGTTACCTTGACTTTACTTGAGACCATTGTTGAAGTCGGATCGGCCCTGAGAGGTACCCACGAGTTGATGTGAAAGTCGGGCGGGCCCGTAGAGCACCCGCGAGTTTTCCATGTGGCATGGCCGGGCAGTCTGGGCCTTTGCCATAAGTCCAGGAGACGGGGTGGCGGGGTCACATTATCGTGAGTCTCTGCTCGTCTCCGCGATCCCCCAATGCACTAATAGGTTTGGGTATTTGTTCTGAGTTGGCCTCTGGCCTTTACACACTAACCACCACGCGAGAATAGTTATGGGCCTCGACGTCGCAGTATCAGCCGAAGCTTTGTCAGACGTCCGGTTCAGCATTGTGGCACGGTTGGATCGTGCTGGCCATCCGAGGCGGTGCTGGTATCCACCCTGCACACAACAACCCAGAGTGCTGCGGGCGATGGGCCCAAGACCCCAGAGTGCTTAGGATGTAGACCGGCGGGGACCTCTCTGCTGAGCCTAGGTAGTGCTGCGACGTGTTGATCTTCCAAGGCCGGGCATTGACCCTAGAAAGGTGTGTCTGGCCAGAGTGATCGAGCGTGTTGGGTAACGTGGTGCACCCCTATAGGGAAGATATATATTCGAATACCGTGTCCACGGTAATGGACGTTCAGACTTATATCCTGATCTTATATAACTAGAAATGTATACTTGAGATATGTGATGGATATGTGGCTCTGAGATTGCTTTCTCGCAGGGAATCGGGAAATGATATTTGGGCGTTGTGTTACAACATGCTTGTTAATTAAACTGCTATTCCTTACTCTTCTACATGCTGCAAGATGCTTGGAGCTGCTTGAAGATGCTAGTCTTTGTTAGGCTAGGCCTTCCCCTCTATTCTGGCATTCTGCAGTTCAGTCCACAGATACAAACCTTCCCTTTGATACCAGTGCATACTTAGTATAGATCTGATGCTTGCGAGTACTTTGGATGAGTACTCACGATTGCTTTGCTACCCCCTTTTCCCCCTTCTTTCTTCTTTCAGGTTGTTGCAACCAGATGGTGGATCCCTGGAGCCAGATGCCACCGCCGATGGATGCTACTACGTGGAGGCCGCCGACGACCAGGAGTAGTTAGGAGGTCCCAGGCAGGAGGCCTTGCCTCTTCGATCGTTGTTGCTTTTGTGCTAGACTTCTTAAGGCATCCTTGTTTAACTTATGTCTATACTCAGATATTGTTGCTTCCGCTGACTCTTGTGTATCGAGCTATGTATTCGACCCCTCGAGGCCCCTGGCTTGTAATATAAAGCTTGTATTTTTTTAGTTGTGTTTAGAGTTGTGTTGTGATATCTTCCCGTGAGTCCCTAATCTTGATCATACACATTTGCACGTATGATTAGTGTACAATTGAATCGGGGGCGTCACAGCATAAATCACATATTTGACTAGAGGACGAAATCAAATCACGATCTAACCTGGTCTATTTTTTTTCACATAATAGACCATTTTGTGTGGCGCCCTACAGCCGGGTGCTGCACTGCACTATGTAGTGCCTTAGACTCATGCGTCGCACCCCCGGCCAGCATGGCAGCCCGGGGCCAGGTGCGGCCCCACGGCCAGCCGTTCAACGCCTAAGCATTATGCGCCACACAGTGTAATGTGCAGCGCCTAGCGCTTAGGCGATGCACATTGACTTAAGCCGCATCGGGCCAGCCCTCCCAAGTAGTTCTTCCCCCTCTCCAGGAAGTTGCTCTCTGGACAAAGAGCAGCGGCGGCGGTGCCGCATCGGATCCCCCACCCCACATCCCTCTCAGATCTGAAGATTTGATCCGTGGATTCGATATCCAATCCCTCCTACTAGGTAAACTCATCCGTTCCCTTTCTTTTCCTCCGTAAATTTGTTGCCATTTAAGAGGTTTGACCAAGATTTGGTGGAACCCTTGATTTGCTTGATTTAGGATGAGTAGTAATAGTGGTACTACCGTAGTGTTGTTCATTAGTTCACAATATATGATTCTTGTTAGTGAAACCCTAGATTGTTTAGTTTTTTTAGATATATATGAGATGCCTATTTTTGTAGACATATATGTGATGTTTAGTTTTTTTAGATATATATTAGATGTTGAGTTTTGTAGACATATATGTGATGTTTAGTTTTTTTAGATATATATTAGATGTTGAGTTTATTTGAAATATGAGATGTTGAGTTTTTTTGAGATATATATGAGAATTTACAATCATTTATTCATTGTGCGAGAAGAACATGTTGAGATTGTTCTAGTTGAACACATATGAGATGTTTAGTGTATACCGATATTTGAGATGAAAATGAACTTATATATGTTTATTGTTTGAACTTTGCAAGGATGGTTTGGCTTCTTGACGATGCCTACGACACACGACACCGGGCCTACATGATGCGTGAGAAGGAGATGGTAATAATGAGTAATTTAAATATTTTGCAAATTTGCCTTTAGTTGAAATTGACATGCCCTATGATTTCTCATTGCTTGTTTTTTGCAGAAGCTTGAACCTCTGAAGATTCGGTATCACGGGGTCTCTGGTCCTGCCATACCCTACAATGAGCGGTACACACCCTACATCCAGCAGGCAGGACTCCTCCCGTGGATTCAGTTGGTCAGCCGGTCCACGCTGAACCTCAACGCTCCTCTGGTGACCTCTCTTGCTGATCGGTGGAGGCCAGAGATGCACAGTTTCCATCTTCGGACTGGGGAGATGACCGTGACGCTCGAGGATGTCGCCTTGATCACCGGGCTTCCTATCGATAGGAGGCCTCTATGTATGAGCACCGATTCTGATGGGTGGCGCGAGCAGATGATTGCTCTTATTGGTATGGCTCCTACCGAGGCTGAGGCTGATGTAGAGAAGGGAGAAGAGCAGAAGGAGGAGGAAAGGAAAGCAGCTGGAGCTGCTTTCACGTGGATTCAAGCAAACTTTGCGCATTGCCCTGTGGATGCCACTGATGATGTGATACAGACACATGCTCATGTCTATATGTGGTACGTTGTCTTGAGGACTTTGTTTCCTGACTCGACAAGCAAGAACGCTCCATGGATGTGGCTGAAGGCGTTTACCATCTTCATAGCGGATGGAGCTGGGGTCTAGCGACTCTTGCTTACTTGTACTGACAGGTACTTGGTTTGTTTTGCTATCAAGTCATTTCTTCATTAGAAATGCAACCTTGCTGTCAAGTTAACATTGTTTTCTTTCATATGCAGCTGGACGATGCGTGTTGCAGGATCACAGGTAGTGTAGGCATTGGTGGTAATATGCTTTTGCTTTCTGTACGGAGTTGGGAGCGTCTTCCTGTTTGACGCCCGAAGAACGTCACGTTTAATCCTTGGGATGAAGATGGCGAATTACGGTGCCTCACTTGGGCTTACAAGTGGTATGTGGTATCCGAGATGACGAATGATGTCAATCTCATGTACCAAAAGTACATTGCCGAGTTGGACACGATTACGCCTGAGCAGGTAAGGAGGTCATTACTTCAGTATTTCTCATGCTTGCCTGAAAAATAGTCATCAATTTTGCATTGTTGCCCTATTTCATAGGTGGTATGGCATCCATATGGCGCGGGTGAGAGCTTTGGGTACACCGAGGAGTTCTCCATCAACCCGATGTGCTTGCGGGATAGGGATCTCTGGCTTATGCGGTGCCCACTGATATGCAACTGGGCGGTTGAGTTTCATTTGCCACATCGCGTGTATCGTCAGTTTCGTCTGTTCCAGCCTCACCCACCAGATTGGGTGGACACGGACAAAGCACTTCATAGGTAAGAGAGCATGAACCGTATTGACTAAGCATCGCCACTCCTTCTTGATTGTGCTAATGTTTGGTTTTGTACCATGTAGGTTGGAAAGGAGAAAGTAGCGAAAGATAAAGGGCTGGGACAAGCATCATGTACAGTATGTTACCCGTTTCCATCTTAGTGTGGAGCAAGCTCGTAACAGTGCACACGCCCAGCTTCATGAGCATAGCTCACTTGCTTTCGATAACTACCTACGATGGTTTCTTTGAAATACTCGAATTGAGATATGCCGACCGGCATACAACGATGATATTCTTGAAGAGCCCATAAACTTTGAGGATGTATCAAAGCGGTGGTACAACAAAGATATCAGGGAAGGGCAAGGAGTCCCTGATGTTCCGGTGATTAACTATGTGGTAAAGTTGTCCCTTCTTTTCTTTCTCGTTGGCCGTATTACACATGTTTGAATGGCTAACGTGTTCATTCGTTCTCATCCGCAGCGTGACCAGATTAAGAAAGCAGCTGATGAAAGCCAGTCTATTCTGGAGAAGACATCGGCTGGAGAAGGAAATGATGATGGTTCACTACGAGCATTCCTCAAGGTACATATTGCATTCCGAGTTGGCCACTTTATATGGACGATAATGCGTAATCGAGTAGTTGTCGAGCCACATCTTCAATTCCAAGAAGGATTGAAACTCACAACTGGGATATATCTCGTTCTTGCCGTCTTCCAAATCACGGTGATAACTTGGCCTAGCTCCAAGAGATATACATTTTCCACCATCTACAACGGCTTCATCCACGAGACTAAGATCCTTGAACAATGGTGTCTTGTGATCCCGCCCGAATACCTTCTTAAATGCTTGAGCCTCCTTGGGTGTGAACCCCTCCCCATCAACTTCTTCATCGGGACCATCGTCATCAGAGTCCGATGCATATGCACGAGAAAAAGGGATGGATTGGTCCATTGTCTCTTGCACATGATATTGCTCGAGACCACCCACATTGTTGTCATGGAGATCAACTTTGTTGTCATCCTCCTCGTACTCATAATTTTCCTCTTCAAAAGCTTCATTTTGGTTGTTCGAAACCGGGCTCAATGTTGGCCAAACTTGTTGCATCAAATGAGATTCAGTAACTTGATCTTGGTTCATGGGTGGGGGAGTACTAGCAACCAACGGGGAGGGGTTTCGGTTCAAATCCAAATGCAAACTAGACTCAACCTTCTTGGAGGCAAATAACTCAAGAGCATTGTCTAGAGATTTCGCAACCGTCTCCTTGTATTCAACCCAACGTTGCTCAGAGTTCACACACATTGTCTTCCAACGGATGTGTATTACAAAACCAACATTGTGCCTTCCCTCGAACTCAACAACGTCACTTGGGTCCATCCAATTCAAATCCTTCCTCACTTGTTCCAAGACATCCGCATAGCTAGGACTACTCTCAAACACCATGTCAAGCTCATCCGGGTCCGGCTCAACATTGCCGTTCAAAAAGGCCTCTTTATCCGCATGATGAACATAAACACATGTTCTTCCCATCCCTATAATAATCAAAAACACACTTATGTCAAGTAAGTACTTAACACAATATTTGCACAAAATACATAAGCCCTAGCATATATATGAAACAATAAGGCTAACCCCCACTTAACAATAACCACAACCCTAACCATAGCATAACCCTAACACCAACATCAAACACACATAACCCTAACCCTAGCATAGTATGAAGCCTAACCATAACCCTAACACCAAAATCAACACAAATTTCCAAATCCAAGCCAAAACTAGGGTTTCCCCAAACTAGCAAGATTTGAGCAAATGTGACAATTCCTATGGATGAAAACGAGGGGATCTGTCGTGGAATTGTCACGTCAGATGTCCTCGTGAAAGGACTTAGTTGTGGAGCCATCGCAACTAGGAAGCTTGAAGGGGTTAAACGGGACAAAGGACACGAGAGGGTTTATACTAGTTTGGCCCCTTACGGTGAAGGTAAGGCCTACGTCTAGTTGGGTTGGTATTGATGTTTCGATGACCAGAGAGTGATATACGCTATGCCTGGCTCTCGATGAGTTGTTTCTTGCCCTAAGCCGTCAGCGGGTCGTCCCCTTATATACACGGGTTGACGCCCTCCGGCCTACAGAGTCCCGGCCGGCTTATAAACAATGTCCGGCTCGGTGACTAGTTAAGTCTACCTTATGATACAAGTAATATTATAACTGCGGTTTACTACAACGGGCCTTAAGTCGCCGGTGGGCTTTAAGCTTCTTATGAACCGTCATCTTCATGCCTTGTCTTGGGCTTCTCTCCGGTGAGCCCTCTTTGCGTAACCCGGCCCCTCCTGGGCGGCTTACACAAATAGTTATATCCCCAACATTAGGCCCCAGATTGATTTGAACCGGTTCATGTCAATCTTAAAATACCCTTTGAACCGCCCTGCAGTCTTTATCTTGCGCGAAGGATTTTAACCCGCCGTGACGTCATCATCTAACTCCGGGTTAAATCTCTATGACATCATCTTCATTAAAGCTTCATTTTTTATAACATCACATCTTCAATGGATCTTTGTCTTTATTGACCATCCCGAGAATCGAGGCGCCAGAGCCGCTGGATAATGAATGTCATCTCCTCGTTTTTTGCGCCCGCTCGATCAGTCTTCCCTTATAAATAGAGCGACCTAAGTCTTCCCCAGTCGTCCTCTTCCTCTTGCCTCCTCCTGTGCTCTGCCGTTGCCACCGCCGAACCCCTCGTCTTCATCGACTCAGGCCGCTGCATCGACCTGATTCCGACCAGAGATCGACGGCAAACTCCCGCGGCGCATCCGCATCTGTGAGCTCTTCTCATTCCCTTTCTCAGATCTGCGTTAGGTTCGTGCCGAGTTCGTCGGCATTCATCACTGCCCGACGCAAACCTTCTCTAGTTCTTTCCTCCAACGCCATGCTTAGACCGTAAAAACTACATAGAACTGCTGCGGTGCTCCCTCGTATTGATCTTACACAGGAATAGATCTCATTTCCCTTGTGTAGACCCCCTTTTCGAGCATATGAGCTTCTCTGCTCTATTTTTAGGTCTAGGAAAATTTCTTTCCAGGGCACTATTTCGATCCAGAGTAATAACTGTCTTCTGTGAAACTTGTTTTCATCACCCGGAGAACCTCCTCTGGTAAATGTCCTGAGATACAACTGTCGAGATGTCCGGCTTAAATAAATGATATAGAACCTTGACTGCTCCTCATGACCCGGAATTATTTTGAATTGCACTTGATACTTGTAGCGGCTTAAATATTGTTGCACAGTCATCCTTATATCATTAGGCCCCTCATTAAGCCGCCACTTTAATCAAGATTTTCCTCCCAGGTTAAAATTGAACCGGATCTTCTTGTTTTTCCATAGGTCAATTGCTGTGATGGCTCCTAAGGCTACCAAGGCCCCTGTAACTTGCAATTGGGTTCCATCCACAGTGACCGATAGCAAACTAGCTGAGTTTGTAAAATCCGGGCATCTGCCAAAAAAGGACGTCATATCGTACCATGCCCCTGACCCGTCTGAAGAAAAGCCTCCCCCAAAGCAGGGGAAGTAATAATTTTTACGGATCATATGAGCCGCGGATTTCTCCTCCCGGCTCAAAATTCTTCAGAGAGGTTTTAAATTTCTTTGACCTTAGACCTCAAGACATCGGACCCAATTCCGTGTCAAATATCTGCAATTTTCAAGTCTTCTGCGAGGTGTACCTGGGAGAGGAGCCAAGTCTGCTTTTGTTCAGGGAACTTTTTTACATGAACCGGCAAAATGAACGTGCCAACGGGCCCAGTCTTGAGCTTGGCGGCATCTCAATCCAACGACGGAGATACTGTCTTTTCCCTTATGCTGAATTGCCGAGTCACCCCAAATCTTGGAACCAGACGTGGTTCTACTGTCAGGACACTTCTCCGGCTGACGAAAAACCTCTGCCCGGCTTTCGCGCCCTGCGCCTTGAGTCTAACCATCTGCTACCAGACAAATTGAGAACCCTTGAACGCATGCCTCTCAATTCCACCATTAAGAAAATAAAAGCTCTCTTGGGAAATGGCTTAAACGGCGTCGATCTGGTCTGAGTCTGGGTCACTTGGCGTATACTTCCATTAAGCCGCCGCCCCGGCTTAATGTGTACTTATGCTGGAGAAAAGACTGATCCACAATGCCGTAGCCCTGATGACTTACCAGATGACATGGTGGATGCTACAACACATTCACTGCTGAAGGAGGGTACTATGACGAGCAATGCCTTCGGCTTACTTCCATTTTGCAAAAATAACCCGGCCCCTGCGGTAAGTTATCAATCGTAACTAATATTCATGGATACATTAT